GTCGAGTTATAGCAGAGGAGGAAGAGGAGGAAGAAGAAGTATGGAGTGACTCTGGAGACTATCGCTACAACCAGCCTGCAGTGGCAGGTCTATGTACCTCACAGTATACTCCATCAAGCCGTCCATGTGGGGGTAGGCTATTCAAGCCTATGGTCTCAAGGGCTATGCAAAATAGCCACCATCCACCATCTCGTCAACCTGTAAAGACATTTACAGTCCCAAACCTGAAGAATTTTCTTGCAAGAATCCTTCAATCGCCTCTCATTCAAGAGAAAATCAAAGGTTTCATGGATACACAATCCCAACAAAATGGTTCTGTAAACGATATACTCTTCTCACCATATATCCAAGGACTCCAGGACATTAATGGTGGCCAATTTGTTCGATTCGATGACCATCATCTTCACATATGCCTAGGACTTTACCTGGATTGGTTTGCACCTCGTGGAAATCGATTAGGTGCTGCACATTATAGTACAGGAGTGATGTATCTCATCATTCTCAACCTCCCACCAGACATACGGCATCATAGTGACTATCTCTGCCCTATTTTCATTCCAGGCCCTCAAGAGCCAACAACTGATGGGCTGAATCACTTGCTTGGACCGATTGTTTCACAACTCGACAGGCTCTTCCATGAAGGGTTCACTTTGCGAGGAAATTGTACCCCAGCCATAGCATCAAGGAAAGTTAGAGCTATGCTTGCAATTATTATCGCAGATGTACTGGCCGAGTGCAAATGTGGAGGCTTTGCATCTCATGCACATCAACAATTCTGTCATCACTGCCGCATACAACGTTCCCAAATGACAGAGAATTTTGATGCTGGTTCATGGAAGAGAATAAACCGAGAAAAGCACCTAAATGCCATAAAACTATGGCGAGATGCAAGATCTGTCGAGCACCGAAAGAGGATATTTGATAAGTGGGGGTTCCGGTGGACAGAACTAGCACGGCTCAAATACCTCGATTTAACAAAATGCTTTGTCATTGATCCTATGCATGCAGTTTTACTAGGTGTCATTCGAACTCACATACGGCAAATATTTGGCCTCACTGACCGTGTCGAGTCTTCTCAGACAAAGGTCAGCACTACCAAAGTATTTCCACAGGAGGAATTGAGGGGAGAGGAAATCCTTTCACGACGCTACTTAAATTCAAAACTATTGGATATTTTGGCTGGCTTCCATTCACCTACACTGGAATTCTTATGTCGTCAAAGAAACATTGACTTCCTAGACGTGCCACTTCGTTCAGGAAAGCCAAGAAAGGTTGACATGGTTGCATCTCTTGGACGATGGGTGAGTATTAGCTTCTATCATTGCTTGTCTCTTATGCAAGACATTTATGATACAGGTAGAAAATAACAGGCCTTCTAGCTATATTTCCGAGATAGACTGCAGTGAAATAGATGGTATTCTGGAAGTCGAATCTCTGTCCAGAAATGAAAAGAGTCTGCGATTGAATTTGCAGCCTGTACAAGAGCTGTATCGTGCTTGTGAAGACCGTGACATTAATATGTCATATCTGACCTATCGCAAAGATTTCCCCCCCAAGGGAAATATGATTGAGCTGCTTCTTTCAGGAAGACCGAAGGTAAGGGATGAGTATTTTGACCTTGAAGCATCACTTACTTTTGCTCAAGCGGTCTCAGCAATCCCAAGTTTCCTCAAGTACACTTTGGAGACAGGCCCATCAAAGAAGGAGCACTGAGTCATTAGTTGATTCTCAAAATGGCATGGAACTCGAAGAGAACGAACTGGTAAAGATGTGCCCCAATTATCTAGCCTAGCTTATGTGCCTCCTAGGACCCCAGTTCTGAGATTGTGATTAACAACAAGTTCCTAAAGATTATCTGGGATGACATTAGCATGATGAAGTTCCCTCCAGATTGTACCGACCTCCCTCCACACAAAATTGGACTCCCTAGCACTGGGAAGCTAAAGGCAGCACAATGGCCTAATGTATGCATTGGACTTATACCAAGCTTGACGAAAGAATGGACACGGTACCCTGAAGGCAGTGATCAACAAAAATGGCTCCAAAACTTCTATCATCTTATTGGCCTCACACGACTTCTGTATTTGCACTCAGTTACCGAAGATGACATCAGAAACTTCAAAAGACATAGCGTAGAATATGTTAAAGGATACCACGAACTCTTTCCATCCCATCGAATGAAGCCAAATCACCATTACCTATTGCACCTTGGTGACATGATGCACTCCTTCGGACCAATGCGCTCATGGTGGTCGTTTCCCTACGAGAGAATGAACGGAGATATCCAGAAGATTAGCACAAACAGTAAAGCAGGTAAGCTTACAGACCTAACAAACATGCTGTAGAGCAATAATTTACACTGTCAGGCCAAATTGAAAAAAGCTTCCTCCAGTCGTTCCTCTATCGTCAGCAATTGGGCGAATTATTGAATCGAGAGCCGCTAAGCCAGTTTGCAAGGCTCGCCAAGCAACGTCTTCAAGCCAATCTTGACTTGCATAGCTTTCACTCGCTTGATTGGGACCCACAAGATTTAATCTCACCATCCTCCTTTGAACTTTTAAAACAAATCGGGGTGAACCGAGTCGGCATAAGGGCGCTGGATGCTCTTCGACCTTATGTGGTAGCATTGCAGTCTGTCATCGTACAAGGAAAGGACTACCGTCCTTTTTCAATATCGGAGTCGCATGGATTTGCCGGATATATGGAGAATGGTTATGATTTTGGGGCGGGCTACATACAGGAGATCTTCCAATACCACTGGGAACCAGAAGGACCGTTGGAAACGTTCGTAGTGCTTGAGGCATTGCAGCCTTCTCCAGTCCAACCATTCTCAGCTGCTCCAGAGGTCGGAGCTAGGTTATTTGAGCGAGTGGAAGGCACAAGAACCATCTTCTTGGCCGAAAACTTATGTTCGGTCATATGGGCCCCTTGGTCGGATGAAAAAATCGTAGTGTTTCTGCCTAAAGAGATATATGTTAGACGTCGCATTTGACTGACGTTCGATTCGTTATTATCATCTCTCTCCGGGATGAGCTGTAGGATCAAATACCTGGCAAGAGATGGACATCCCTAGGAGAAGTCAACATACCATCATATTCGCGCTATGATCCAAATAATCAGATAATTGTATTCAATGTCTTATGGGAAATGAACTCAGCTTTAGAAATGCAGCTCGGCGTGACCACGGATCCTTGAGTCATATAAATGACGAAGTAGATACTAAACGACAGCATCTATATGCATGTACTCTTTGATAATAAGGTCGTATATATGTCTTAGCTCTAGTTGCAGCATGGAAAGGCTTTGTGGGGCCTGAAGACATGTTATTGACGGCGAGGAGACACGCAAGATGAATATGCTCCTTCGAGCACACTTGAGAGGAATGATACAAGCCTATAATCCTGTTCGAGTCATTATTTTCGAGCTGGAATCCGTTCACTTTGCAAATCATGACGATGGTCACATGGACCGTGCGTGCTCCCCAAAAATACGTAAGAATTGTAAAGAATATTCT